TTGGGCACACCAAGCTTCCACTTGGGAGCACTGCTGTTCCTTCCGCCTTCATGCCCTTCCCGAGATCTTGACATGGTTGCTGCTGCTCATAAAATTAAATGCTACCTTTTTGAAGAGGCCTCCCCTAAACACCCTAGCCCAAGTAGCTGCAACCTACCTACACATATACACACACACAGACACACACACACACACACACACACACACAACCACATTACCTTATCTTTTTTTTTTTCCTACATTTCAGACTGTCTTTGTTTGAGCATAAACTAGGTGGTGTTCTGGAAGCTAGAAAGTCTAAGATCAAGGTGTCAGTAGATTTGATGTCTAGTGAGAGCCCTTTCCTCATAAGATGGTGCCTTCTGTATGTCTTCACACACAGCAGATCTCTGGGACCTCTTTTATATGGGCACTACCCCCATTCATAAGGGCTCGGCCTTTGTGACCTAATCACTTTCCAAAGACCCCACTGCTTAGTACTATTGGTAAACTAAGTTAGGCTAAAGTTAGCTCCTTACATATTTTAAAGTCAGTCTAAAGTTTTCTCCGAACATAGCACATTGGAACCTAAGTGGATGTGTAAACAGACTATAACCTACTCTTGTGCCAATCACCAAGTTCTAGTCAATCAAAGACAACCCATTATTCAAACTATATTCAAGTAAGGCAAACACTGGCAGTGTAGCCAATCCCACTGTTTCTGTACCTTGCTTCCATTTCCTATACATATCTTTCTTTTTCTGTCCATAAATCTCCTTTGACCACATGGCAACACTGGAGTCTCTCTGAACCTATTTTGGTGTGGGGGCTGCCTGGTTCTTTGCTCAATTAAATTCTGTTCAATTTAATTTGCCTAAGGCCTTTCTTTTAACACTATCATATCCGGGATTAGGTATCAACGTTTGAATTTTGGGTGGACGCAAACATTCAGATCATAGGAAGGACCTACATCATATTCATTGTGTGTCTGTTTATTGCTTTTCTGTTGTTTAAAATGTGTTAAGCTACATCGTGTTCACCAAACTTTTCCCAGTATACAATTGATACCTGATACCCAGTGTATGTTCATAAACATCTATGAATTGATTATGTGCCTGATATTAAACACACGGAATTATCATTTCCCTATACTAGTCTGGGTAAGTATATACCTGCAGCATTAAGAACAAGTCTCTTTTCCTTAGAGAGTAAGAAACTAGACATCATATGCCATTTATAATTTACAAGGGAAAATGCTAACAGGAATATGTTAAATATGATCAAATTAACGAACCTGATTTTCCCATGTGGATTGTCATATTAGTTTCATTATTTTGTGGTCACGTATTATGCTGGTGACTTAACTCTATTAGGTTATCAGTGGCAGAAAAGAACATACAAGACATAAGACTTGAGCCAAGAGGACAAAGACAAGTCTCTTAGACTTTCTGAAGAAAAGGTAGAGTTCCTACTTTGAGAGACCAGAATATGCCACTCCAAAATGTGACTGCAGGACACCAGAATGCTTCACTCTAAATGCCTCTTTGAAATAAGGATGGGGGGGCGGGAAAAGCCACAGGAGAAGCTATGAAAACAGAGTAGAAGTTACCCTTTTGTAAGGTGAATGTATTGATATATTTATAAAGGAAATCTTAATTTGGAAGGGTGTCTCCTTCTCAGTGCCAGGAAGAAAAGGATGACTCTAAATCACTAGAGACTCTTATCAAAGGAGAAGGCACAAACTTAAATCTACATAACAGATCTTACCCTGTTTACTGTGATTTTCCTGGTCACCTCCCCATAACGGGCCTGTTCCATGCCCTTTCTTTGTTTCAGCAGTGATATTTAGGCCTGAATTCAGAACCACGCTTGGAGACTTCCTCATTTCTCTGAGTATCTGTCATGTACACAAGGCATACATGATATTAAACTCCTACTTGTTTTTCTCTTATTCATCTGTCTTTTGTTACAGGGTTTAGTACTACCGGAGCTCAGAAAACAGTACCCCCAAGAATGGCTCTTTGGCATGCTGAGTGTTTTGAACTAAAGGAGATTGGAAGGCCCCAGTCTCTTTCTGACCCTCTCCTAACCTTCTGTCTCCCATTCCTCTTCCCCCTCCAAAGTGAGTCTTAGAAACCAGAATTTCTCTTCCCCAATGCAGGTTATAGAAACTAGAACCGCCGGGCTCGGTGGCTCAGCCTGCAATCCCGCACCTTTGGGAGGCTGAGGTGAGTGGATTGCCTGAGCCCGTGGGTTCGAGACCTGCCTGGGCAACTTGGCGAGACCTCATCTCTACAATAAATCAAAAATGAGCCGGGCATGGTAGCACGCGCCTGTAATTCCGGCTACTCGGAAGGCTGAGGCGGAAGGATCGCCAGAGCCCAGTGGGTCGAGGCTGCGGTGGCCAGGAATGGCCTCTGCACTCCAGTCTGGGTGACAGAGTGAAACTCCAACTCAAAAAAGAAAGAAAGAAAGAAAGAAACTAGAACTGTTGCTCCCAAAACAACCCATTAAACCTAGGAAGGCCACTCACTCCCTGTTCCCTTCTCCCTTGAAGATCCTCACTCCAGAGGGGTCCTGCCCTACATCCAAGAGGAATAATGCTACACAGAGAGGCCAAGAAAAATATGAGCAGACAGGCCTTACTGGGTTCTCTTCTCAACCTATTACAATTAGATGATACACTTTGTCTAAACACATTTCTACATGGCTGTCTATTCTTCATTGAACCTAAGCATAAAAACACAGTTTTGGCCAGGCACAATGGCTCTCACCAGTAATTCCAGCACTTTGGGAGCCCAAGGCAGGAGGGTTGCTTGAGCCTTGGAGTTCGAGACTAGTCTGGACAACATAGTGAAATCCCACCTCTACAAAAAAATCAAAAAATTAGCCAGGCGAGGTGGCACACACCTGTAGTCCCAGCTACTGGGAAGGCTGAGGCAGAAGGATTGCCTGAGCCCAGGAGGTTGAGGCTGTAGTGAGCCATAATTGTGCCCCTGTGCTCTAGCCTAAGCAACAGAGTGAGACCCTCTGACTCAAAAAACAAACAAAGGCTTTTCTCAGGAAGAAGCTGCTAGGAGAGACTGCCAGCTCCAGGCTCTGCCTCACCATTGCAGTTCCTGGCCAGACACCGACAGCAAGGACTGTGGAGGGAGCACAGAGAGGGAGCCCAGAGTCAAAGCCCCAATGGAGAAAACAAAATAGGCACCCTGCCACCATCTTGAAAATAGGGTGGGAAAGTGCTCTGGTTTGCTCACCAAGGAGCACCAGACTGGACCTGATCTCTGTGACCAGCAGATTAACTACTCGGGGGTTGACCCAGAGGGAAGACCCTGAAAACACAAACTCCGGGGGGACAGGACAAGTGCTGAGTCTCAGGCGCCCCACCCCCTACCCTGATTCAGCCATGGGACAAAGGGTGTGACCAGAAAAAGACAAAGAAGACCTCCAAAGAGATCAGTGGTGAGTCCAGGGCTGACCCAACCCCCTCCTCCCCAGCAATCCTCTGAACATCAGACCCACACAGCTAGGGCACAACTGAGAGGGACAAACCCAAGTGGAGCCTGGACATCAGCCGCAATAGGAGGACTCTACTCCAGGATAAGCCTATCTGGAGAAGCTCCCACCAGTACCAGGAAGAGACAATCCTGTACCTCTCCACTGGAGGGGATCCCCCTGACCACACTAGAGTGGGAGGGGAGGACTGAAACCCCACCCACTCCTATTGCTCCCTGCTCCTTCCCTGGACTGGACACTAGGGAGATTGTGAATGAGGCTGAAGCTCTGCAGGAGACAGTGGAGGGACAGCTGAGAGGAACATCTACAGAATCTGCCACAAGACGGCAGGTTTTTTGTTTGTTTGTTTTTAATTTTTTTATACTTTTCCTTTGTGCATGAATGTGTATGTGAGGATTCAATCTGTATCCCCCCCCACACCCCTTTTTTTCTTCTTTTTTTCCTCTCTTCTTTTGTTTTTTGTTTTCTGTTTGTGTGTACAAGGATTGAGTGTTCATCATTCAGTTTTTTGTGTTTTTCTTTTTCTTTTTTTTAAGTTTAATGTGTGTTCAATTTTAATTCCTTTCTTTTCTTTTCTTTTCTTTTTCTCTTTTTCTTCTCCTTCCATTTTGGGGTGTGTGTGTGTGTGTGTGTGTGTGTGTGTGTGTGTGTGTGTGTGTATGTATTTGATTGTTTTTGCTTTGGTTTCTGCTCTTGTTATTCTGTGCTTTTTGATGTTGTTTTTTGTTTGTTTGTTTATCTTATTTTATTCTACTTTTATCTATTCTCCTCATTGCTATTACTGCATCTTGGACTCACTGGGTACACATACGTACCCACTGCATCATCATATAGAGCAGTGGTAGGGAGTGGTCTCAGAGAACCCATACCACAATCAGTGAACATTGTGATTTGCAAGTAGTTTCTGAATCCCAGCTCCCCATCCTCTACCTTATTTGACTCTCAAAACTACAAGAGACAGCAAAGCTTCCCATCCACAGCTGTGTTTCAAAATAAAACAAATTCAGAGCCCTGAGCAGGGAAGAACAGAGGGCTGAACAAACATCAGAAATGAAAGCATCTCCCACTGCCACTGAATAACAGAACTAAAGAAAAAAGAAAGACATCTGTCACAAATGAGGAAAAATCAATGGAACAACAAATGTAATTCCCAGTGTTACACAGAGAAAATACCTGAAAAATCAGACCTCAGAGCCCAAACAATGGAAGTCACCGATGACTGGCCCCAGAACACAACAGGAATTAGAGAATGGATGGAAAGAGTGAATAAGACTCCAGAAAGACAAGATACAACACTGAAAGAACTCATAACAGAGATTTTGGCCATAAAAATTTAATCCAGAAAATAAATAACAAGATGACAAGCATGGAAAGCAGAATTAATCAAGCAGAAGAAAGAATCTCTTCTTAAGAAGGCCAAAACATGGAATTAACTTGATCTGTCAAAAACATAGAAGGAAAACTCAAAAAGAAAGAACAAAGCGGTTCTCTCTCCCTCTCCCAACATGGTGGCCTCAGCAAAAAAGAAGAATAAGGGGAAGACTATCTCCCTAATAGACTTTCTGGCTGAGGATGGGGGGACTGGTGAAGGAAGCACCTATGTTCCCAAACCAGTCAACTAGGCTGATGAAACAGATGACCTGGAAGGAGATGTTTCAACCACTTGGCACAGCCACGATGACATGCGTATGGGGCACCTTCAATCCACCGTTCCATCCTTCCCACTGCTCCACGGGCTGCTCGGGAACCCAGTATCGACCGGAGGCGTCTTCCCAAATCGCCACCCTACCCTGCTTTTCTGGGGAACCTGCCCTATGATGTGACAGAAGACTCGATGAAGGAATTCTTGAGAGGTTTAAATATCAGTGCAGTTCGTTTACCACGTGAACCCAACAATCCAGGGCGGTTGAAAGGTTTTGATTATGCCGAGTGTGAGGATCTGGATTCCCTGCTCAGTGCTCTGAGTCTCAATGAAGAGTCTCTAGGTAACAGGAGAATTCGAGTGGACGTTGCTGATCGAGCTCAGGATAAAGACAGGGATGGCCGTTCTTTTGGCCGGGATAGAAATCGAGATTCTGACAGAAGAGATACAGACTGGAGGGCCCGCCCTGCCACAGACAGCTCTGATGACCACCCGCCTGGAAGAGGTGGTGATAGCTTTGGAGACAAATATCAAGAGCGTTATGATTCAGACCGGTATCGTGATGGGTACCGGGACGGGTATCGTGACGGCCCACGGCGGAATATGGATCGGTACGGGGGCCGGGATCACGATGAAGACCGTGGCAGCAGGGACTGTGATCGAGGCTCTGATTCCAGGATAGGCAGTGGCAGAAGCACATTTGGTAGCAGGTACCGAAGAGATGACCACTACGGAGGAGGCGGGGAACTCTATGAAGACCCATATGAAAGGCGGGACGATGGGTCATGGAGCTCCAGGGATGACTTACTCTCGAGATGATTCCAGGCGTGATGACAGAGGTCCCCCCCCCAAAGACCCAAACTGAATCTAAAGCCTCGGAGTACTCCTGAGGAAGATGATTCCTCTGCTAGCACCTCCCAGGCCAGCCGAGCAGCTTCTATCCTCGGAGGGGCAAAACCTGTTGACACAGCTGCGAGAGAGAGAAGTGGAGGAGCGGCTTACAGGAAGAGCAGGAGAAACTGCAGCGCCGGCTGGACGAGCCAAAGCTGGAACGGCGGCCTCGGAAGAGACACCCAAGCTGGCGAAGTGAAGAAATTCAGGGACCGAACGGTCGAGGACAGGAAGTGAGTCATCACAGACTGGGGCCTCAGCCACATCTGGCAGAAGGAAGTCAGATCAGGATGCAGGAAGGAGAGAGAGGGAGAAGTCTCTAGAAAATGAAACATTCAATAAGGAGGAAGGCTGTCACTCTCCGACTTCTAAACCTCCCAAACCTGATCAGCCCCTCCACCAAAGGAGAATGTTTGGGTGAAGCGAAGTTCTAACCCTCCCGCTCGATCTCAGAGCTCAGACACAGAGCGGCAGTCCCCTACAAGTGCTGGGGGGAAAGTAGCTCCAGGTCAGTCATCTGAGGAAGGACCAACTAGGAAAGCAGATGAAAATAAAGTAGATGGGATAAGTGTCCCAAAAGGCCAAACTGGGATCTCCAGCCGTGGTCCAGAAGATGGAGGAAACAAAGACCACTGGAAGGATTCAGATAGGAAAGATGGCAAAGAGGATCAAGACTCCAGATCTGCACCTGAGTCAAAGAAACCCAAGGAAATTCCAGCCTCTAAGTTCAGTTCTGCAAGCAAGCATGCTGCCCTCTCCGTTGATGGGGAAGATGAAAATGAGGGAGAGGATTACACCGAATAGACTTCAACATCCTGTGCTTTCTCCTGGTCTCTCTCCACCCTGGAACATTCAAGAGCAAATCAAACCTCTATCCAGACAAGGCAAAATAAAACTCACCATCTCCTGGAGACCTTTCTGAACTTTTTTTTTTAATTGAAAAATACTTTTGCATGCTGCTGCAGCCTTTAAAATATTGAAGTAACTGGAGAATCATCAATGTAGCCAGAGAGAAAGAGACTACAGCTTTTTGATGGAAAAGTTGTGGTGTGTTTTTATGACACCATGAAGTTGCCTGTCTGATTAGTGCCTAGGGGAGTCCATTCAGCAGAAGTGGTCATGA